TTAAAGACGAAGTATTTCTACAACCGAGTACAGTTAATTGGCAAAACATTGCAGAACATTTTGAAAATATTTGCCAGTTTAACAACTGTATTGGACCTCTTTATGGAAAACATGTTATCATACAGGTAAAAACTTTTATTTAAATATATTTAAGTATATTGTTGTCAAGGCTCACTATAAGAAAGCACGTGAGCCAGCTATGACAACAACGTGACCAAGCGAGAGGTCATGGAACGTATGCTAAATTTGGGGACTTACGGGCAGACACAGTTTAGCGTTCGTACCGAGACGATGTAGAAAGAGTTTTGTTTTAGTAACCGTCGTAGCGATTAGATGTAGAGTCAATTTAGCTGTCGTCCTTTGAACAGACATATAGTTAGGCGACAGCCGTTGTACTCAGACGACGAAGAAGAACGAAAGCAATGTATTATGTGTGATTATTAAAGTATTGTTGGAGCAAACGATTCAATTATCCATTTACAAGCCTTTACATTGGTCCTTCGAGCCGGAGGTTGTGAGCAATCAAGCTAGTACAATGAGTGCACAGGAGTTGCGTCGACAACGAGGATATGTCAAGGTCAAGGTGACAAAGACATGGAAATACGTTGAGAATGTCGTCAATAAGAGAATAGCAGCGAACATTGAGACAATTACTGTACACCTGGAGAAGCTAGAACAGGCGTACAACGATTTTAACGAGTTACAACGAAAACTAGTATGCACAATGTGAAGAAGAAGATCTACAAGCCGATGATCAAAAGGAGAACCATACTTTCGAAGATCGATATATAGAATTGAAGGCGACGTTATCGAAATGGAAGGCTGCGTTCAAGCCTGCTGTGAGTGCGAGTGGCAGCAACGAATCGCTCGCGCACGTGTTGGAACAACAGACAGAGGTGATCCGAGTGTTGGGTGCAAGTGCGCACAATGAGAACAAGGTAAAGCTGCCGACAATTAAGTTGCCAACGTTCTCGGGAGAAATCGAAGATTGGAAACGATTCTCCGACAATTTCGTCACATTAATTCACAACAGTGAATTATCGGTTGTTCAAAACAAGGTGTGTAATAGGCATGGGACTCCTGTAAGTGGAAAACGTGAGGCAATAGAAAGAGAAAGAATATGAGACGCCCATCTTTATCCTTGTCTAACGTTGCGCGCGCATCAAGATGAATGGAGTTGAGTGGGGAGGTATCGTTGAGACTACTGAGTTCTACATATTTTATGTTAAATTTATAACAAATAAGAGTTTAAAGATTGAATATATATCAGAAATACATAAAATGTTTATTTGAATATTTTATTATTATAGCATTACAAATTTTGTTATTTAAAAGCGTTTATATAAATAAAAAACTTTATGTGGAATGTATTGTTATTACTAATATAAACATTTTCCTCCTTCTCTCCTCTCTTCTGTTTCATGCATAATAGATTATATATCTTTATTTAACATTCGATAACATTCGCAACAAGGCTAAATGATGCATTGCACGCATGCGGGAAACGAAACACACTCCGATATATTGCTCTCTTCAAATCCTGATCTCTCCCACTTGACTGCGAAAATCTATAGCGCATGCGCGATTGAACAAGGATGCTGATGGGCGTCTCGTTCTCTGTCTCTTTTATTAGCTCACGCATTCGTGGCTGGCTTTTCCCCTCTATCTATACAACCCTCTTTGATATGCATGCATATATGTTTCAGTGATATCTTTATTTAATTAAATATAATATAGTATAAAGCATTTGGTATTTGTTGAGCATTGACTGTCTAGTTTATATAAAGTAGAAAACACTATAAGAACATTTTAATAAAATAGGAAAGATGAAGGAAAATATTTGAAAAATAACAACTTTGGTGGAATTGCTGTCTTTTTCTTTTTAATTGGCATAAAAGGTATCAATTCTTCTATTAGCTTTATAGTTGCAGCTTTATTTAATCTGAAGATATAAAAATTACATTAAAGATATATGAAATCATAACAAGTAAAGAGATTATAATTTAAAATATAGATAAATATTCAATGTATATATATATATATATATATGCAAATTATAATTTAACATATACTGCAAATGAAATTTATAATAAAATTTATTTATATCTGTATAGTTTGACAAATGTATCTCTGGTGTATCAAACGGATCTAAAGTATCTCTTAATTGCCTCCTTATAATATTTGGATATTTTATTGTTGTCTTTTATTATCATTATCGTCGTTTTATATTATCATAGCAATAAAATAATTCATCTTACATACGTAACTTTCTCAAAGTATGTGTGATATAGAGGATATTAAACAACACTACGCACTATTTTGACGTTATTCGACACAGAATTTCTTGCCGAACAGTTTCATGCGAGTTAGTTCGTATTTTCACTATAAGCGTTTTCGATTGGGGTGCACTGGCTGCACTGAATGTCAGGCGCGTGTTCGATTGGTAGTGCCAATGCGCACTTGGCTAGTGTTGCGTATTCGTTTGAACGCACAACACTCGCATAGTGCGCACTCAGTGCGCACTAAGTGGCACGAGATATTTTGACGGTGCCAGTTCAGTGCACTGGATGCATGCAAGCAGTAGGGCATTCTTTTGAACGAAAATTCGACATAATGAACAATTCGGATTTGGCTCTCTTTAATATTTTGGAAACATTTTTGGAATCTTCTTCTAGTTCAAGCGAGCAAGAAGAAATAATTACAACTCTTCGAACTAGAAGAATAATTCCAAAAACTATAAATTATGTAGAATGTGTGAAAAAAATGGATAATGACACCGTAAGTGTTATATCTTTTTATATAAACATCGAACCTATACCCTTTTTTAAAATATAATTAATGTACTTAATGTAATAGCATGTACATATGAATAATAAATAATTTTATATTTGTCATACGTGATATTCTTGATCATCTTCTATATTTAATTACATATAATAAAAATCATTACTTAACTGAACACAAGATGTCGAGGTTACTTTTTCGTTCTTCCCGGAATCTAGTCAACTCAAGTGGCACTGAAAATTTCGGCGTGTTCTTTTTACCTACACTATTCAGTGCAACCCATGGAATTTGTCCAGTGTTCGTGTGAACTGAGTGCGCACTGGTGCGCACTAACTTTTTCCCAATCGAAAACGCTATATGATGAAAGTTACCCAATCAAGCGAGAGCTCATTTTCACCATACTTTAAAATATACAATCAATCCCCAGATTTCAGATGTGTGTATACGTGTATGACAGCCGAAAATCATATGCACACATACGTAGCGCGACATTGTATGTGTCGTTTGAAGCGTGGCGGAGATCAAGGAGCGAAGGAGAAAGTAGGGGTACTCCGATATTGCATCTCTCTCAAACATCGTATGATCGAGAGAGAAAGCAATACAAGACGTGGTGTCATTTAGTGGTGTCTAGTAGCTGTCTCACTCACTCGACTATGAATTGAAGGAGTGCGAGTGAGACAGCTATACGGACATATGGACACCGCGGGTCGCGCTTGTCTATCGATGTCTCGTTTCCTCCGTCGTACATTTCTGACGTCGGACACCATTCCTGCCGGTCAGTGTACAAGAAACTAAAACTAATAGCGTTTTCGATTGGGAAAAAGTTAGTGCGCACCAGTGCGCACTCAGTTCACACGAACACTGGACAAGTTCCATGGGTTGCACTGAATAGTGCAGATGAAAAAGAACACGCCGAAATTTTCAGTGCCACTTGAGTTGATTAGATTCCGGGAAGAACGAAAAAGTAACCTCGACATCTTGTGTTCAGTTAAGTAATGATTTTTATTATATGTAATTAAATATAGAAGATGATCAAGAATATCACGTATTTATCAATAATTGTATGCATTTTTTTTTGGAAAGAAATCTGATTGCTGAAAACCATCTATTAATTGCTCACATGTTTCTGGACACATTTTGAAGTGCCTACAAAACTATGACAAATATAAAAATATTATTATTCAGTATAAAAATGCTATTACATTAAGTACATTAATTATATTTTAAAAAAGGGTATAGGTTCGATGTTATATAAAAAGATATAACACTTACGGTGTCATTATCCATTTTTTTCACACATTCTACATAATTTACAGTTTTTGGAATTATTCTTCTAGTTCGAAGAGTTGTAATTATTTCTTCTTGCTCGCTTGAACTAGAAGAAGATTCCAAAAATGTCTCCAAAATATTAAAAAGAGCCAAATTCGAATTGCTCATTATGTCGAATTTTCGTTCAAAAGAATGCCCTACTGCTTGCATGCATCCAGTGCACTGAACTGGCACCGTCAAAATATCTCGTGCCACTTAGTGCGCACTGAGTGCGCACTATGCGAGTGTTGTGCGTTCAAACGAACACGCAACACTAGCCAAGTGCGCATTGGCACTACCAATCGAAACGCGCCTGACATTCAGTGCAGCCAGTGCACCCCAATCGAAAACGCTATAAACTAACTTCTAGGAACTTCTAGATTGGACTATGAGTTGGTAATCCTGAATCCAAAGTTTCTCATTGTCATCACGCGAGGTCTCTAAGGGTACGATTACATGGACGCGCGGAAACGCGGAAGAGAAAGTAACTAAACTTTACTAGAGTCCCGCATTTCCGCGCGTTCCGTTCCGTCTGTTTTGATTGCCTTATATTACATGGAGCACATTTTGAGCGGAAAAGCGGAACGGTATAGTGACAAATAGACATTTGTATTAATTTTTTAAATTTATATTACTTAATTCATTGTAATCCCTTTTATTAATATGTTGAAAACTGAACTATTGAAGGACTTACAAGAATTAATAAATATAAAGTTAAATATTAATATTTTATATATCCCCGTTCCGCTTTTCCGCTCAAAATGTGCTCCATGTAATATAAGGCAATCAAAACAGACGGAACGGAACGCGCGGAAATGCGGGACTCTAGTAAAGTTTAGTTACTTTCTCTTCCGCGTTTTTCCGCGCGTCCATGTAATCGCACCCTAATAGCTCCAATATCAGATCGGAATCTATCTGTCATTTTGTTGAGTAGTGTTGACTCTCAAGGAACTTTTGCAGTATTGCATTTCTCTAAGACGAAAATCCATATAAAAGAAAAACATTTATTACTTGTGAGGTATACAAAGTTATTTGCAATTTCGTAATATATAATTTGTAATTAATTTTGTGAATCAACTAACTACAGCAATGATCGGATAACATATAACAAATATATTGCGATAACGTCCATGATGATAATACCAAACTATTTTTATGTAACTTAGAAGAAAGTTGTATAAAATATAAACTCGAGCATATAATTTTGTGTGTATTAAAAATGTATAACTTGGAATAGTAGAAAATATTTATTTGTTATTTTTGTGAAACACAACATGTGTTTTAATATACAATCTATTCCTATTAAAAGATATGACTAATGACAATTCATTATATATTATATTTTGTTTTAATACTGCTAATTATATCTAATAATCCTATTGTCTAATAATAATAATTTAGTATGCCTTTATGCTAAACAATGTCTTTATGCTTTACTTTAATCATATTTGTTTTAATGTAATTTACCTGCTCACATTTATGTCTTGTTTTAGCAAAATATTTACTCACAGTAGTAAACATGTCTACTGATGTGAATATGCAAGCTGAAAAGGTATGTATAAAACAATTTTATTTGCATGTTGTAATGCTGCTCTGTGTGGTTACTGGGATGAAAAAAATGATACTTTTCCATAATAAAAATGATACATATTGGTTTGCTATTATACATTGAGATTTTACTCATTCCTTTTCTGGAAAGCTGAAAATTTATAGTAAAACTAAAATATTAATTAATTGATAATAATTTCTTTGGATCAAGTCCAATGGAGAAGCGAGTGTCGATAAAACCGAAGAAGAAGAGGGCAGATCATCTAAAGACCTGCATGTGGTACCTATCTATCCAAATTAAATTTTGCTGCTTAGATACAATTCCTTTTCTTTATCCTGCTGTTTATATTGTTATTGTTTTCGATTTTATAATTAAATAATTATACAATCTTCTAATGTAATGAGAGAAATTAAAATGTATATATGTGAAAGTCATAATTAATCTTTTGAAAATTTTAGCAAGAAAGTGCTCCTGTTTATGGAGGTTGTGAGGGACCAAATGCAATGTATGTGAAACTGGTCAGTAGTGATGGACATGAATTTATTGTTAAAAGAGAACATGCATTAACAAGCGGTACTATCAAAGCAATGTTAAGTGGTCCTGGGCAGTTTGCAGAGAATGAAGCTAATGAAGTTAATTTTCGTGAAATCCCGTAAGTGTAAAGAATATAGTAAAAGAATAAGTGTGAATAAAATATAGTAAATATACAAAAGTTATTCACTTTCGCGTTTATAAAATATTGTTTTTTTGTTATCGATCGTAATTGAATTATCTAAACAAGTATATTTTAACTATCAATAAATATAGTATATAGATAAACAAGTATATATATATTTTTTTCTGTAGGTCTCATGTGTTGCAAAAAGTCTGCATGTACTTTACTTATAAAGTGCGCTATACAAATAGCAGTACAGAAATACCAGAATTTCCCATTGCACCAGAAATTGCCTTAGAATTATTAATGGCTGGCAATTTCTTAGACTGTTAAACATCATTTGCATTGGTCTGTATCAGCAATTAAATTACGGAACACTGCAGCTTTATTATGGTCATATGAATGTGTCTATATATTGTGATACTTCTGAAACTCATGTTGGAGCATAATAATTAAGCGTGTCAAACTCTTCAATTCGGCATAGATATTTTAATATTATAAGACAATGCAATCTTGAAGTTTTATATTAATTACTTATCTTTAATATAATATTGTAAAGTTTCACAAGTGTGTACTACAAACATGTGACAATTACTGATAATGTTTATTATTCATGGATTTACCATACATACATGTGTGTGTTTTATATATATATATATATATATATATATATATATATATATATATATTTAATTCATTACATTGTTTCAGTAAAATTGTTATTAATATTAGGATCAAATAAATCTAACGTTAAATCATAAACCTTATTTGTTATGTCATATAGTTAATATTATACTTTATATTACTTTATGCGAAATCAAATATATGCATATTTTTTTATTAGTATTTATTCTCAATTTATATTAATCGTATTTATACTTGTATCATCGTCAAGATACTGGATTAATATATTGCAAAAAATAAGAGATTAGACTAAATAAAATACATAATTTCTAATAAAATTAAATTAATTGTAATTTTTACTTATAAAGTTTATACATTTTATGATATGCAAAGAAATATGTACAATACTACACTTTACAGGTCTTATTTAATTATTTATTAATAAATATAATGTAAAAAAAATATTTCATTATTTCTAATATAAGAAGTTTTCTATTAAGACAATATCACACACAATTAACTATCGAAAACATTTTCAAGATAAAAAAAAATTCTCTATTTAATAGCCAATTGCATGACATATCTATCTGTTTTCTTACTGCAAATCTACATTCTTTATGCAATTATACATATTGATAATATTATGTCTAATATTATATATAAATACATATAGACAGACTTATATTTTTATAATTATGTAACTTTATTTGCTTTTTGTATCTTTTCGAGGTCCTTGAATTTAGTTTCAAGTCGTTTAGAGTATGCTGCGAGTTTGTAAGCAGCTTGTTCCAGTTTGCTGACACTATCATCAATTTGATTAATATTATCTAGAATCGGTTGTAATTTTTGATACTTCTCATTCAGAGAATCCAATGATTGCACGACGTTCGACGATATAATCTTCAGCTCCGTATACTTGGCAATAGTTTCTTTGTTTAAACGTTCCAACAATTGATAATCTGCATGAGTAGAAGTGAGCTCCTCCTGCAGATATTCTCCTGTCTTCTCGAACATCATGTTTGCCAAACGACTTAGGTTCGGATCATGCGGGTCCAACGCCTCGAAACTGCTGGTACTGGTGGAAAGCGTGGTGCCACGTTTTGGCGATTCGCATCTCGAATACTGCTCTGCTGACAGATTTTCGATCAACGTTGGCTCGGTCTGCATTTCGTTCTTTGACAAATCCATAATTGACATGTTTATATATGACGTCACAACCGAGTGCGTTCGCTTTTAAAGCGGGGAGCACACACTTTTGATAGGCGCATAAGCGTAAGCATAAGAATCTTGATTGGTCTATAAATGTATGCATAAAAATTCAACCAATCAAATTTCTTATGCATATGCTTATGCGCTTATGCAAAAGTGTGTGCTCCCCGCTTAAGCCTTGTGTTCACGAAACTAGAAATTGATCCGAGTTCTCGGACCGAAAAAGTGTAGCTAATTAATATGTTTTAATTTCTAGTATCGTGATGTAACGTCCCGTCTATTTTTAAATTTTCGCTTTTGATATAATCACATTGCGCGCTACTCGTAACTAAGTAGAATAAGATTACTAACAACTATTAAGCATTATTATTTGTTTTAAACTTAATTATCTTTGCTTTTTTTGCATTATAGTTAAGACCATCGGATCTGGGGTCCCCAGGCCGAGAACCAAGCATCTCCATCTAGTCCTAACTATGCGACCAATCAGGCAGAGACACAGATTAATAGCAGAGAGAAAATGAGAGCGGCCAGGCCGGCGTTTTGGCTGTTACCGTTTTTACGGGACTGCTTGAAGCGCCCCTCGCACCCGTTTTCAATATCGGAACTAACTGCACACCCATTTTCTGGCAGGGTCGATAAAGTTTGTATTTGGTGCGAGTCCGTGCTACGCCCATAATTTTCGTGTTGAGAAACTTGGTGCTAGAATCCATTTCAAGTTCAAACCCTGCTGTTTTAATTTTTTTAATTTCGTTTTTTTTTCAAAGTTTTTTCAAAGTGTATTCACAAAAGTTATTATGTATTAGAACAATCAATTAATAAATTATTATTTGATAATTATTAAAATTATACGCACATTTTTTAACAATTTTGCTTATGTAACTAAAACTTTATAAGTTTGTAATCAATTTAATATTTTTTTAGTTTTCATAAAAAAATTGTAATCTTTCCTAATTATAAATTGTTGAAAAATATGAAATCATTTTAATAATTATAATTAATAATTTATTACTTTATTGTCTTACACATAATAAAGTATTTGAATACACGTTGAAAAAAAATAGAAAAAAAATAGAAAAAGCAGGTTTTGAACTTGAAAGATCCAGAATTCTAACTCGTCGTCTCACCCACTCGACTACGCATATTACCTAACGTTCCTTTCTATCAGTACAGTACATTAGGGAGGCCCACAGAAACTTCAACAATTAAATCTTATTAATTATATATATATATATATATATATATATATATATATATATATATATATACATACAGGGTGTTTCATTTTAATTTCCCCAGGCAAATATTTCGGAAAATAATAAAAAATCGAAAAAATGTTTGAGACAAAAGTTGTATGATTTCTAGGGGGACATAAGATGGTGTTTTTAATTTGACCTTGAAAAGTTACATGAAAGTTACGTGAAGATCATTTTGAATTTCTTAAATGGAATACCCTATATATTTTTGCATATTCCTGTAGCTTATGTTGAAAGCTTTCCAAAACACTATAAATAAATATTTTTCATCAAGTACTTTTCGAGTTATAAGGTTTGAAGTTGACAATTTTTTTACATAAAATGTAAAATATCTTGTAAAACATTTAGTTTTCGCTAATCTTACCTTAACACTTTTATGCACAAAATAATGAGACCAATAATTATTTAAAAAAGTATGTAATATGCAACAATGCAACTGCATACTTATTTACTTTAAAAGCAACTATTTGTTTTGTTTATACCAATTAATTGATCTCATTATTTGTGCATAAAAGTATCAAGGTAAGATTATCGAAAACTAAATGTTTACAAGATATTTTACATTTTATGTTAAAAATTGTTAATTTCAAACCTTTATAATTCAAAAAGTACTTGATGAAAAAATATTTATTTATAGTGTTTTCGAAAGCTTTTAACATAAGCTACAAGAATCAAGAATATGCAAAAATATATAGGGTATTCCATTTAAGTAATTCAAAATGATCTTCACGTAACTTTCATGTAACTTTTGAAGGTCAAACTAATAGCACCATCGTATGTCCCCCTAGAAACCGTACAACTTTTGTCTCAAACATTTTTTCGATTTTTTATTATTTTCCGTAATATTTGCCTGGAGAAATTAAAATGAAACACCCTGTATATATATTAATATATATAATTAACACGAGTTATTGTATCTTGTATTAGTGGAAGAGATGTGTAATAATTAATAATTAAAAGTTAAGCAATATTTAGGAAGACCGAGATTGTTTCCTTGTGAAATTACACACAATAAATTTTGTCCTCCTTTACATTGTTAGAAAATGTTTGAAGCGCTATCATTTCCCCACCACCTTGCGGTAGATAGCATGGTGCGCTTTTTTTATAGTGGTTTCCCCAATAGGCCTAATCCACTATTTTTATGTAATGCATGAAGCAAAAGTTGTTGCATAAGCTGTAATTTATGAACAATTGATTTTATTAATAAATATATTAAAACTGTAAATATTAATATAACTGTTAATGTAATTTTTAATATATATTATATTATATTAATATTTATCGCCGCTTCTATTAATATGAAGTGCAATGTCAACGTGCAATAATGTACAATTATTTAAAGTTTCCATGCCTAATGTATCATGCCGGTATAAAAGAACGTCAAGTAGCATGCGTAGCCGAGCGACTAAGATGACGAGCTGAAATCGTGGACATTCAAGTTCAAACCCCTGCCTTTTTCAGATTTTTTTTTTCACTTTTTTCAAATAAGTTATTATGTGTAAGAATAATCAATATATCATTATTTGATAATTTTTTTTGTAATGGAACAAAATAAATTATTTTGTATTCTGCAAGGAATTTAATTATTATGCAAACGCCCACACACATAATTTAGATTTCAATTTTTTTTAGTTAAAATGTTTCTTGCAATCTGTATACGACAATCAGTCCACTCGCTGTGCCACAATTGCATCGCATAATACGTCGGAGTTATAATACGATAGAGATCGCTTTTTTTCGCTGTTTTTCCTTGAAATAAATAAATTTACGTGTTGTGTACGCGTGTTTAGTATATTTGTTTCTTTCATATTAATTTTAACTATAATTAGTTTTTTAATTAAGATTATTTTAGTGTTAGTTGTTTATTTGTTAGTGTCCTGTTTTCTTTAATTTCGCATTTTTTAATTTTCTTTTTTTTTTGGTGTTGGTGCTATTATTATTTTTTTTTACAATGTCGAGTAAACACCGGTTTTACGATAAATGTGTGTATTTAAATTGCACAAATATTAGGACAAAAGATGGAAAACGTTTATTTCGATTTCCATTACAAACGGGTGCGAGACATGATTTATGGTTACGCAATAGTGGTGAGTTTATAAAATGATTTACTTATTTATATCAATAATAATATATATTGATATGATATAAAACAATATATATATATATATATATGTTGGCGAGTGATATATATATTTGAAATAAAATACTCTTGATGCGTTGAGAACTGTTTATTACTCGGAGAAGAATCAATAATGAGAGCGCGTCTCTCGACCGGCGGTCGTCTTATATACCGCCGTCAAAATAACCGACGCTTCAAATCGCGCCAATCACGGAGGACACGAATTCGACCAAAAATCTCAGACGACGAACGGATAAACATGTACAGAAGACATACAATACAAAAGAATATAAATACCGAGACAATGCCTTATAATAATACATGCCCGCAATAACAAGACGGACGACGGATAACTAAATAAGTCGAGCCCAACGAATAAATGCCAACAGTTCGGCCATTCTGACATTTAGGCCGTCCCGGCCTAACATAATCAAATATCGCATATCGGTCAAACGCATACTCGCAAACACAATTATAATTTTACATATGGTCGCATCTGATCGGGCGCAACTACACCGCTATATGGCCGTTGTGTCACCTGGAAACCGTCGATATCGCTTACAATATATCGGTCATAATCGAGCGCTTTCTTTATCACGTACGGTCCTTTAAATTTTGGTATCAATTTTTTGTTTATTCCGACCGTTTCTCTACATTTCGTATTTCGACATAATCGCCAGGTTGATATTTACGCGCTGGTTTTCGTCGCAAATTATATCGCGTAGCACTTGTGTGCGATGTTGCGATGCATTTTTATTTCAGCGTCGCATCGAAGTCGATCGAGATCACGCTCCGTGTTTGCATCAATCTGTACAAGGTCGCGTAGTACATCATTTGTTTTTCCTCTCTGTTCTAATCCGAACAGCAAACGAGCAGTGTCTCGCCGGTTACACGGCAGGCGGGTATTATTCATCGCGTATTCTATTTCTGTCAGAGCACAATCCCATTTGGAGGGCGTTTCACACAATTTTGCTAACATTGGTGTTAATGTTCGATTAAATCGTTCTACCTGCCCGTTGGCTCTCGGTGTTCCCACGGCGATCAAAACGTGATCGATTAATATTGACTTTAAAAATTCTTTAAACACCTCAGACGTAAAAACAAGTGCCCCGATCTGAAATCACACGCCTCGGCTGACTGTATGCACGGAAATAATCGCGAAGATGCCTAATCGTTCTCTCTGACGTCGTTGATTTGCATGGATAGAGTCTAATAAATTTTTAAACGCGTCGATGATGGCGAGTAGATGCCGAAATCCCTTTCCGGTTTTTTCTAGTGGCCCTAAATGATCAACGTGTGATTGTCGCAAACGGAGAGTTTCCTTTGGAATGCTAAACAAATAACCCTCCGTTTTACCGCTCGGCGGTGAGAATTCAATACAGCGCAAGCAATTAAAAATGTATTCTTTAACTTTGTCCCGCATCCGCGGGAACCAATAGACTTTCCTTATACTATCGATGACCTTGTCGACACCGACGTGACCCAGGTCGTCATGACAAGTTCTAATCACGTTGCTTTCCATCGACTGTGGCACGTAAAATAATAATTTCCTATTTTTGTCCTTCCGATAGACCAATCCGTCGCGCAATTCATAATATTTCATTTCGCTCTTTTCGAGTTCGTCACGAATTTTACTAATTTCCTCGTCGCGGTCTGGCAAATTGACAGAGT